TTCCCCATTTCCTATATGAAGTGGGTGAAGCAGAATTTAGACCTTAGCTTGAAAATCTTGGATGGATATTCACAAGCATTGGTCCAACAAACTACAGACAGAAGTTTCAGAGCCACACTAGATGCAGACACAATATCTAACGCAGTCTACATGGAGCTCAGCAGCCTGACACCTGAGGACTCTGCCATCTATTACTGTGCAAAGAGCACTATCATAGCACATATCTGAGGTGTGTCAGAAACCCTGAAGGTGCAGGAAGCTTCTTTGGGGTTGTGAGGACAGGGAATTGTAACCTGAAGACTTTCTCAAAACTTGTGGTTAAATACCACGGAAAGGAACAACAGACTAAGGATTAGTTCTATTACATGAAGAATTTCCTAGTCACACTGCATGAAAGATTCAGAAAGCAGGAGTTTTAAATTAGTGAACTTGATCCACTCATTCTCTTGTTGATATCAATATGAGCATGTGTCTACTACCATAACCGAATCAATACTTTGGAGTAGAAATGGTTTGATTGCATTTTACATCAATGTCTAATTCCTAGATGATCAATGTTGTTGTTGAATTTTTATTAACAAGATTTATTCATCAAACCAGTTCACATTTATGAGCTTTTAGGAACAGGCTCTGAGATTAAGCAGTAATCACTGATTTCACATTCATAGTCTTGCCCAGTCTCAATATCCTGCCATGTAATCAGAGCCTGTTACAGATCAGGAACACAGTGACATGAGACATTCTCCTCCAGTCTTTGGGATACATGGGTGTCACAGTCATCCTTGGTTCTTTGCTGAAGACTGTTTAGTAGTTAGTGTTGCTGATTCATGGTATTTTCCCAGAGGGATGGCCTGCAGAGGTTGTCTGTAACTTCCTTCAGAGGTAAGTTACAGAGTGGACACCCCAGAGATGCCCAGAATCATCTCTAAACTGGATCTTCCTGCATCTTAGATATCTGGCCATTGAGGAAACTGTGTGCATCAATCTGTGAGAATCACAATGAGATATGAGCCCATTTTAAACACAATCCTCCCTGTGGAGGGCCTCAGGAATTGTGTAAGTGGTGCTCAAGTCCTTAAGTGGTGTTTAGAAGAGTAAAATACAGCACAGTTACAGTAGGGAGGTCTAAGGGTTTATGATCAATGCAATCAGGGATCAGCCAGAGAAGTGTAAACAGTCCACAGAGTAAAGGGAGAATCATAAAAAAGCTAGAAATCAATATGTGATGCATTAAAGGAGAATTGCACATTTTCACATTTGTTGCAACAGATCTGCACATATTATAATCCTAGTATTACTTCAATTCAGGAGAATAAGCTCATAGTATCTATTTCTATTCTCACAGGGCCCAGAATTTTGTGAATGGATTATATTTTAAGAGGAGAAATTCTCCATACTATTCAAATAGACATGTACTTCTGTCCATTGTAACCTATGATAGCCATCACCATCCCATGGACTGAAGTATAAAATGTGGCTTTTTAGACATTACTTAACCCAACAGAGATTCTGAAATGCCCATACAAAACCATCCAGTATCCGCAATTGTAGGAATAAGTTTTCTTCTATAAGGAGAAGAGGGTGTTACCCTGTGAACTGACAGACCCCAAGATATCACATCCATTATAACCTGTGATAGAAGAGAATATATGCATCAGACTGGTCCTAGATCCTTCTGTCCTGCAACATTAGGTGCATCTGATTCATGACCTAATATTAGAGCAAAATATAACTGAACAGCATGAATTTATGTAGTATGCATTTTTGTTTTAAATTGTAGCTATACTTCAGACATTTAAACACACATCTACACATATACCTAAGTAGTGCTATTGGATGGTCCCATTCCTGGGAGTCTATTCCAAATTCATGAAAATGTTCAGCTTCTGAATAGCTTAACTAACACGTACCCTGTCCAAGAATAAAAGGACTGTGGACTTGGAAAGGTAGACATGGAGAGATAAAGCTGTGTAAGTACACATATCCTCCAATCATGAGTATCTTTGTCAGGGAGATCTCCTCTCTCCCCTCATTCCTTTAAATGCATCAAATGCAGTATGGGAAACAGATTGAGTCACAACATTTATTTGCTTCATTTCTACTTCCTTCTTAATGTGAGTATATTTACTCACGGTATAATTGTTAACTTTTCTGTGAGTACCACAGAGGGTTATCCTCTTTCTGTTGACCCCTTTATCTGCATGTCTCAGGAATTCATACATGGATACATTGGGGGCTGCATCTGAGTTTATGAGTCATTGTGGTTCTCTGACATCAGGTGCTCTGTCTCAGGTATAGTCTGAAGAATGCAGTCTCTTGTTGTTCTTTCCTGTTGTCACCAAATTACAAATGAGAAGTGCCGGACTTGTAACCAACTGTCACCAGAGAGGATCCTGGCATCGAGAGGGGCATTGATGACAGTATGGAAACATCTTTAAAAAGCTAGAAATCAATATGTGATGTATTAAAGGAGAACTGCACACTTTCACATTTATTGCATCAGATCTGCACATATTATAATCCTAGTATTACTTCAATTCAAGAGAATAAGCTCATAGTATCTATTTCTATTCTCACAGGGCCCAGAATTTTGTGGATTACATTTTAAGAGGGGAAAGTTTCCATACTATTCAAATAGACATGCACTTCTGTCCATTGTAACCTATGATAGCCATCAGCATCCCATGGACTGAAGTATAAAATGTGGCTTTTTAGACATTACTGGGGGTTATTGGGGGCTATAGAGGGTAGGGGATGGGGCATGAGAACATGAGGGAACAGGATGGTCAAGCCGGGGGAGGGGTGGAGTGGGAGAGCAATGAAAATGATATCTTCATAGAGGTAGACACTATGGAGTAAGGGAGAAACCTAGTGCTAGGAAAATTCCCAGGAATCCACAAGGATGACCCCAGATTAGACTACTAGTAATAGTGGTGGGGAACTGAACATGGCCTCCCTTGATATGAAGATTGGTGACTACCCTAACAGTCACTATAGAGCCTTCATCTAGTAACTGATGGAAGCAGATGCAGACATCCACAACCAAGCACCAGGCTGAGCTCCTGGAGTCCAGTTGAAGAGAGGGAAGAGGGAGTATAAGAGCAAGGGGAGGGGGTCAAGATCATGATGCAGAAATCTACAGAGACAATTGAACCAAGTCAAAGGAACTCATGAACTTTAGGCTGACAGCTGTGGAACCTACTTGGGACCAGACTAGACCCTCTGCATATAGGACACAGTTGTGTAGCTGGGTCTGTTTGAGAGACCCCTGGGAGTGTGTTCAGGATCTATCTCTGATGCATGAGCTGTCTTTCTGGATCCCATTCCCTATGGTCTACACCTTGTTCACCCCTGATAAAGCAGAGAGGGCCTTGGTCTTGCCTCAACTGAATGTACCAGACTTTGACATCCCCCATGGGAGAATTTACCCTATTGGAAGAAGGGATGAGAAGTGGGTCCGGGAGGAAGGTGAGGGGGGAGCTGGAGGAGGGATGAGGAGGGAACTGTGGTTGGTACATAAAATGAATTTAAAATTTTTTTTTAAAAAGACAGTGTACCTTCAGTGTAAGCCATGAGAAACCAACCTGCAGGGAAGCTCAGAACCAGCAGGTGGCACAATGGAGCCAAGAATGCCCAGTAGAGATGAGGTTGGTGTGGAGGGGACTCCAAGATCTTTCCTATGTCCTCTCCTGCCCTGTTCTCACCATTAAAGATAGTATAACAATTTTTAAAACTATAACATGGATGGAGAGAAACTCCTGAAGACCCACACCAAGCTGAGGATCTATTGGCATTTGCTGATGGATGAGGAAAATACAATACATTTTCTTTGGAAGATTACTGGAGGTTTCCTATGACCCCACCTATGTGTATATAGATAGCATTGACTGAACTCATTGTGTTATTAGTTAATGAAACAAAAGCAGCCAGGAAGTTGGGAGAGAGATGTATTGGAAGGTCCCAAGAGGAACATGTGGGGCATAGTGGATGTAGATATGATCATAATATATTTTATACATAGATCAAAATTTCAAGAAATACAAAGTATTAAATATAAAAATAACAATTTTACATGTTTATATTTTTCATAAATGTATATTTTGTACAGTGTGCATATTTCCCCATAGTCTTTACCCTTCATTTTCCTTCCTCTCCTACTTTACCTTTGTTCTACTCGACAAATTCACTCATACATCAACATGTATTTGTATTCATAGTTGTATGTAAGTATGAAATATCTAAGAACTACTAATGAGAATCTCATTTGATGTCTGTATTTCTGAGATGGTTGTAATCATTTATCTCTAGTTGTATCTAATATCCTATAACTGATGTAATTTCCATATTTCTTACAGATTAAAAATTTCTATTGTGTTGTTTATATAAACATGTCTTCTTAATGAAATCCTCTGTTGACAGTACAGGGTTTATTTTCCAAATTTAGTTATTGTGATGTTGCTACAATAATAATTATTGTGCAAATATGTCTGAAGTATATTTATTTTGGACATTTGGATGAGATTTTTAATGTATAATTTGTTGTAAAGGCAAATATTAATTGCATATATCTGAAAGGAGGTTGTAAATTCTCACAACTTAGCAAGTTTTAGATTTCCCATCACTGTCATTATCACAACCACCATATGTACATCAATTTGACATCCTTTTCACAAAGTGTAGCCACTTTCTCAGGCCTGAAATCTATTGAAAGCTTAGGTCCTGATGTTACATTCTCAGCGTCTGTACAAGGCTAAGGGAAGGAGCATGTTATATATATCCTCAGAGAGGATTAGAAATTAGCACTCAACCTCCTGCTGAGTGACCCAGGTATCCTCTACCACTTTCTTCTCCAGTTGGACTAGGTACTTATCTAAGAAGTACCCTGCTCATGAATATACAAATTACTTGAGTTAGTGATGGTAAATACAAGGAAGTCCACACCCCAGAACAACATATGATCAGTGTCCTCTCCACAGTCACTGAGCACACAGATCCTCACCATGGGATGGAGCTGGACCATTCTCTTCCTCCTGTCAGTAACTACAGGTAAGTGGCTTTCCAGTTCCAAACCTGAAGAAGGAACAGGGACTAAGGTGACAATGACATCCACTCTGCCTTTCTCTCCACAGGTGTCCACTCCCAGATCCAGCTGCAGCAGTCTGGTCCAGAGCTGGGGAAACCTGGGTCCTTAGTGAAGTTGTCCTTCAAGGCTTCTGGCTACACCTTCACTGACCATGTTATACACTGGGTGAAGCAGAGGCCTGGACAAGGCCTGGAGTGGATTGGATATTTTTATCCTGGAAATGGTGAAACTAAGTACAATCAGAAGTTCCAGGGCAAGGCCACACTGACTGCAGACACATCCTCCAGCACAGCCTACATGGAGCTCAGCAGGCTGACATCTGAGGACTCTGCAGTCTATTACTGTGCAAGACACACAGTGTTACAACCCACATTCTGAGTGTGTCAGAAACCTCGGAGGAGCAGGAAGCTGCCCTGGGACTGAGATGACAGAGAAGATCAGCCTGGAGACTTACTCAGAAATAATCATTCTGAGTGTCCCTTTGTCATTTCACAGTCTTATAGGGTCTTTGTCAGCTTTTCAAAAGGACTGCTGGGAATAAAGGGATCCTGATTCTGGATGCACCTGGAGTAAACCATGCCTTGACCAGCTGTTTACCAGTGACCACCTCCATTGACATGATTCTTTTTTAAGAAACTAAAATAAGACAAACTGTAGCAATGCATTATGATATAAATACTTCTTCAATCTAAGGGACTGGAACTGTTGCTGGAGTAGCTGGGAATTAGCTATAATATGAGTCAATCCAGTAAAAGTCATATCAACAGCATGTGCACAAACAAAGCTCCTTTCACAGTCCAATTTGGTTTCCCTAAAACAAGCAAAGGCAGTTTCTTGGAAGGGGTCCCCATAGATTTTGGGATAGGTGTTTTAACCTCTCCTATGAAATCTAATTTTATGTCTTTAGTTATTGATACATCTGATCATGAATTGCTTTTGGAAGTACTATTCGAATCACTTATTGTTTTAGAATTAGGAACAGAGTTGAGTGTCACATTGTGGAGCCCCCAGGGTATAGAATCTGCTACGTTGGTAACAAACTGGGCACCTGCTTAGATAGCATTGGGGAAAGAGCAGTGGAATTCCAAGCTGGGAATGTAGAGACCTGATCCTGTCATCAGCAGCCCTGGATGCTCATTCCCCTGTTTCCTGAAATTGGATTCTCTTTGTCACTACTTCTAGATTGACATTGTCTGGACCAGTGAAAATGCATCTTACATTTGCAGGTGTTTTAGAGAGAGGTTTACTATACTGAGGATGAATAGCAAGTTTTTGTTTATATTATTTCTGTAAATGGTCTGTTCTCTCCATATGTGAAACACATATGAGGCCATAATAACACAGCCAGAATCTGAGCTCCTCTAGGCAATCATTTTGGCATGCTTTTATTAAATCAGCAATAGTACGAAAGGTATTAGCAACTATAGAATGAAGCTTTTTACAGTTTAAATTTGCATTTTAATAAGCACACAGAAGAGACAAGGTAGAAGCAGCTTCTTTACTATCTGCCTGCTGCTCTGTAGGTTGTTGCAGATGATGGACAAAATCATGAATGGCTCTCTATATTTCTGTGTATCATGGGAAATATGACTGTGGGAGTATTGATACCAAGAGCTTTTTTCCAAGCCATTAAAGCACCGTGGTTGCTTTGGCTGTTAACCACTAGACGGCTGACACATAGTTGGGCCACTGTTTGGAAGTTTCCTTTTCTGATAATTTGATGGTAAGTCATGTTTATAGTGGTCCCTAGCTTTGGTTATGAGCTGCAGTGGACAGGCATTTGTCCGTCCATTACTGAAGACACAGGCTAAACTAGGGGTTGGTGAGAATTGTTTTTATAAAGACTTGTCAGGTTAAGTGTATTATTTCATGCATATTTGTGAAAATGTCTATTACTCCTGTAGGGAAATGACTCTCAACTCCATTTTCTGTAACATTATTTCTGAAATCTTTCTATATGGAGAATGGAGGATTGGTTCATGGGCAGGATTCTTCATACTTCTCTAATGACCGGAAACACAGTCAGTAATTGTCCTGCCTGGAAACACTTTAAGGCCTTTTGTGGGTAAGGATCAATTAATATATTGACATCCTGAAGGGACACATGAAGAGAAGATGCAAGAGATTTAGTAAGAAGACATTATTTTCTGGGACTTCCTTTTCATTTGGTGAGACTAACCAACTAACCTAAGCTGATTCCACAAGATTAAATACTTTAATATAACTGGTCTCATAGAGCAGTACAACTGGTACCATTATTCCTTTAAGAGTCTGAATGAGTCTCACGGTTGTGATTCTATGGATGTTTCTTAGTAACAGTCAATAGTTGATGAATTTATCTTAATTATGTTTGGACTCCAATTCATTGATGTAAGTTTTGTAGTTGGTTTGGACACATTTATAATAAACTCGGTTTCATCAATTATGTTTCTTCATCACATTAGAGAAAGAAATCAAAGCATTTCCATTGAAGTCATTTAACCAAGAGTAAGATCAAATTTAAATTCCCTACTTGATATTGCCTGTGTTGTCTTCTGATGTCCATGTTGTAGGATCTGAATCTCTATATCTATCTCCATCTCTTGTTCTGCACCTCTCTCCCTGTCTCCCTGTGACTCTGTCTCTCTCTGTGACTCTGTTTCTCTGTGTATATGTCTCTTTCTCTGTCTGTCAGTCTGTACTTATCTCTCTCTTTGTCCTTAACAAAGTTTTTTTCCTGTATATTTATTGATCAGCACAGAACGCATCCCATGGAAAAAGAATAAGGGATATTTGACAGAAATCTTTAACAAGAGTTTTACTAGAGCTTAGTAACGTTTTCCAGCTGGCTCAAATAATAAACAGTACTACAATCATCTTTTAAAAAATCAAACAATATCTACACATAGTATTCAGCAATTCTGGATACTCATTTTATAAAATTTATTGAAGCCTATAATGTATGTTTTCAGCAAATAGTTATTATAACATACATAAAAACACACATACATTAGTCTTCAGTCAGGAGCATGGAAGAGCACAAAAAGTCAGGCTAAACCTATGTGTTATCTCATTTTGTAAGGGCTGATTATATGGGAAATTTAGGCAAGTAAAGTTGGGTGTTACAATATTCTCTTTTTTTTTTTTTTTTGGTTTTTTGAGACAGGGTTTCTCTGTGTAGCTTTGCGCCTTTCCTGGGACTCATTTGGTAGCCCAGGCTGGCCTTGAACTCACAGAGATCCACCTGGCTCTGCCTCCTGAATGCTGGGATTAAAGGTGTGCACCACCACCGCCCGGCTCACAATATTCTCTTAAAGAAAGGTTAAACAGACTGAGTATATAGTATGTTCACAGTCTGAAGAATTTCAAAGTGTATTTTTCACTCTGGATGTGTGATCTAGCAAAAGTTTCAGTCTCTTAGAATGCAAGAGTTATTTTTATCATAATGTATTACCACAAAAGTATAGTTTCTATAAGCTGGTTAAATGTACTATTAAAACATTTTTCATAGAACTCTGATTGACACAATGTATGTACATGTTAATTGTCAGTAGTTCTAAAATTATGCATTATGCTATATTCTCTAGTCTCATATTTACTGCCTTCCCAGTCTCAGAACTCCGACCTACACTCTAAAGTCTTTACAGAATGTGGTCCTAAACTGATACAACATCATCATGCACATTCCATTGGATAGCTAGTGGTCACATTTTCTATAGACCACAGGGTTTTGATTAAAGTGTGAATAACAACCAGCATGGAGACCTGTGGTACCTGGTAATCTCAAGGGTTTGATTCAATAAGAACACTCTTTAGCTCAGAACAACAACATTTTATGCTCATCTAGACATTCCCCCCATGATAAATATCAATGTCACCTGCTTAATATGTATGCACCCATATGGGGCATACACTGTGGCAGGCATGAATCCCCAGGCCAAAGATAATGCAAATAAACATACATGGAGTTTAAAATACTATTTGAAAGATCAGTGATTTTATAAAATCACCTGTCTTCCTGCTGTCTTCCTCCAACTGGAAAGTAGGGATTGACCAGAGGAATCTTCCATTTCAGGCCTATGTGTTGAATGGGACTTTCCAATGAACTGGAAAGGCATCTGTCAAGGAGATCTAAGACCTTGATTCAAGGAATGCTCCTCTACCTGTTGGACAAGTCAATTTTAATGTACCCAGACACCCCATACTGAATGTGGTAGAGATCCCCAGAGAGGGTTTTGAATGTCTGAAAGTTCAAAAGTGAATCACTGGTCCTGAGACAGGCTGTGGAAAATTTTCTTTAAATCACACATTATACTTTGCCTTCTTCCCAGAAGAAGCAAAAAATTCATTTCACTTGATACCAAGCTGATGAGAGCTAATTTTACATAGTCATCACCCAGGGGTGCTATGTAAATCATAGTAATCTCAAAAAATATACTCAAAGTACTTTGTAGTGGGGATTTAAGGAAGAAACATAAATTTCATTTTCTTGTTTGCTTTTAATTAATAACATAACCTTATTGTGTCCTATAGAAATGATCTTTTCAATCTCTCATTTGGTTATATGGTTATCAGTAGCATTATCTCTTACTAAACAGGTATTTTATGTATCATAGGGCAAATGATATCCCATCGCAGACTTACACTTTGTGAGATTAAGAAGAAATATCTAGCAGACATCATGGAATATCCAGGAGAACCTGAGCTCTGGCCATCTCTACTTGTAAATGCAGAGGTCTCAAAACTCAAACATTCTTCTAATCTCCAGGGGAAAATTTGCCTACTCAGTGCAGGGGAGTGCACCAGTCTCTGCTCACACAGGCCTGAGGCACCTGGAGAAGGGAAGGTTTGGGCTAGAAGAAGATAATAGTGAGGGTTTGAAAGAAAATGGTCCCCAAAGGAAGTGGCCCTACTAGGAGGTGTTTTAGTTTGTGTGGTCTTCTTGGAGGAGTGTGTCACTGTGGGCATGGACTTTGAGGTCTCCTATGTTCAAGATATGCATGGTGTCACAGTTCACTTCCTGTTACCTACAGATCAAGATGTAGAACTCTCTGATCCTTCTCTAGTACCATTTCTACATGATGATGACAACAGACTAAACCTCTGAAACTATAAGCTAGCCCCATTGAAATGTTTTTCTTTATTAAAGTTTCTGTGGTCATCTTGTGTCTTCACGACAATAAAAACCCTATCTAAGACAGTAATACTATTGGCTCTGCTTTTCTTTCTGTTTCAGCTTCCCAAGGTCAGGGTTCCTGAATGTTGCCCGTTGGTTCTTGAATAGTTTCCAGTGTGGTGATTGTCAAGGGCTACAGGTATCTGGACCTGGCCTTGTGACTCCATCACAGGGTCTGTCTTCATCTGAGCTATCTCTGACTATTCTATCACAAGCTGGTACCTACTGGCACTGGGTTTTCCAAGCTTTAGAAAAGGGGATGCTGCTGGGAAATGAAGTTATTGTGGAGTCAGAAAAAAAAATCCTTGTTCAGCTTAATCTCCACTTCCAGAAATACAGCTAAGGACCAGTTATCCCTGAGGTTTGTATCTTTGACTCCACAGGTGACAGCTTTGTATTACAGTAAGACACAGTGATGAGACATCACTGTGTGGCACAGGACACACCCCAACACACACACACACACACACACACACACACACACACGGAAAAAAAAAACCCAAATATACACTTTCTCTGTTCTTAGATACAGCAGGGCACTTATGACCTCTCTTGATTTTTGGCTCTGTTATAACTTTGATATGTCTGAGTCCAATCTCTTCTGTCTATGTATATCAGTATGTGTTTTTGTTTTTAATTAGGAAAACACATGTTCAGCCTCTACAAAGGCGTAATGTCACTTTCAGGAGCAGAAATGACTCTGCCATTGATAGAAGGGTTACAATTTGAAAATTTCTCTCACACAGTGAGGTTCTGTGGTTTAAACATACTTCCACTTAGATCAAAGTAAAAAAGTTATGTAAACAATACCCAGTAGGTAGAAAATTCAATTTGTTTCCAATTGGTCCTGGCTCTTTGCACGTATGTGAGCACCTCAGGCTGAGAGCCGATTGGGGTGTCTATTTTCCTGACGGTACAATTATTTTCCTCCTAGAATTTATTCTCAGAGTTCATCATTAACCTTCCTTATCCTCTGGGCTTTTTCCAGCAGGTCACATGACATTCAGGAAAAGTCTCCTCAGCAGGCATTGTGGGGAGAAATTTCCTGTCCTCTAATGTCCAATGTCCTCCAGATATCCTCTGTGCAATATACAAGATGTCAACAGCATCAGGGACTTCAAATATAAACCACAGAGTTATGATAGAAAGAAAGAGCCATTCTTCTCTCTGTGAATTTGGGGAACTATTAACAGAAAGCCTGAGAGTGGTATTGTGGTTGATATATTGTGCACCACAATAAACTTGTCTGGGGGTCAGAAAACAGAACAGCCACTATATTAAACACAGGTTTAGGCAGTGGTAGCACACACCTTTAATCCTAGCATTCTGGAGGCAGAGATCTGTCTGGATCTCTGTGAGTTCAAGGCCATACTGGAAATAGCCAGGCATGGTGACACGTGCCTTTAATCCCAGGAAGTGATGGCAGGAAGCAGAAAGGTATGAAAGGTGTGAGGACTAGGAACTAGAACCATTTTAAGCTTTTAGCTTTTAGCAGCAGTTCAGCTGAGATCCATTTGGATGAGGACTCAGAGACTTGCAGTCTGAGGAAACAAGATCAGGTGAGGAATTGGCAAAGTGAGGTTGAAATGTGGCTCGTTCTGCTTCTCTGATCTTTCAGCGTTCACCCCAATATCTGACTCTGGGTTTGTTTTTATTAATAAGGCCTTTTAAGATTCGTGATACATGGTACGAATGCTGGGTTGTTGTTAGATAAGTACTGACTGGACCATTGCAAGTTTCACAGGGTGACTTCTGTGGGGATAGGCTGGATTTCTCAAAGAGAGACAAAGCTTCCATTCCCCCACAGAATTCCATCTTGTGGCTACCCTGATGTATCACAAAAACAAAGAATTGGTAGGATGGCTTTTTTTTACCCATAAGGTACTTCTGAGACACTGTAAGAGTAACTACTCCATGGGAGTAAAATTAATCAAATGGAGACCATGTTCCATCATGGTAAACACAGAAGTTCACAATCTGCTATTTTATGTTATGATTTACAGATTGTATCAAGTTCATATAATCAATAGTGTTGCTAAATACTTATTACTATGAGACAGCAAAAATGAAGAAAACAAAATAAATGTCTTGTGCAGAGCTTGGAGAGCAGGTGCAGACAGGGTCCAGCAAGGATGTTTCCTGACTCTCCCCAGAGTTTATTCCTCTCTGTTAACCACATACAAGCCCAGGAAACCATGTCCGATGTCAGTTAGAACACTTGCCTTGTAGGATCTGACAGAGATCATGGCAGTAACTTCTTAAATCTGTCAATTTCCTGCGAATGTTACAGAAACAGAAATGACACAATTTGAAGGCTCTTTTAATTCACCAAGAAGACAGCAGATTCTCTCTGTAGAATGAATTCCTCATTTGGAAAGCTAGGACCTGACAATCTGTTCTCATAGAGAGGTGATTTCAAGGCTCTTCATGCTGAGTCTCATCCCGTCAGTATAGAGTGTCATGTTTTTAGGATGCTGTGGATATCGTTCTGTATAAATAAAACACTGATTGGCCAGTGGCCAGGCAGGAAGTATAGGCAGGACAAGGAGAGAGGAGAATGCTGGGAAGCGGAAGGCTGAGAGAGACACTGCCAGCTGCCGCCATGACAAACAGCATTGATTGGGCTCACTGTGTTATTAGTTTATGAAACAAAAGAGATCATGATGTTGGGAGAGAGACTTATTGAAAGGTCCTAAGGGGAACCAGTGGGGCATAGTGGGTTTACATATGATCATAATGTATTTTATACATGGATTATAATTTCAAAGAATATAAATTATGAAAGGTAAAAATAACAATTTTACATATGTTCAGAATTTTCAGACATGTGTATTTTGTACACTTTGTATATTTCTTCCATATCTCTACCCTTATTTTCTTTTGCTCTTCCTTTACCTTTACTTTACTAAACAATTTCACAAATACATCATTATATATTAGCATTCATAGCTGAATGTAAGTATGAGATATGTAAAAACTACTAATGATAGTCTCATGTAATGTCTGTGTTTCTGGGGTGCTCTTAATTAATACATTTATCTCTAGTTGCATCCAATATTCTATAACTGATGTAAGTTCTATATTCCTTGCAGATGAAAAACTTCTGCTGTGTTGTTTATATAAATGTCTTCATGATGAAATCCTCTGTTGACAGACACATAGTTTATTTCCATAATTTAGTTATTGTGTCCTTGCAATCATCATTGCTGTTCATCTATTTCTGAAGTATGTTTACTTTTGGTCATTTGAGTGAGTTTCTTAGTATATAATCTTTTGGTAAGGCAAATATTAATTGCATATATCTGAAAGGAGTCTGTAAATTTCAAACTTTGCAGGTTTTAAATTTCTCATCACTGTCATCATCATCATCCTCATCCTCATCATCATTCTCATCATCATCATCACAACCACCTTCTCTAAATAAATCTGACAACCTGGTTACAAAGTGAAGCAAATGTCTCAGGCCTGAAATCTACTGAGAGCTCAGGTCCTGATGATACAACCTCAGCATCTGCACAGGGCTCATGGAAGGAGCATGTTATGCATTTCCTGAGAGAGGATTCAGACTTGGTCCTCTCCTTCTTGCTGCATGACCCAGGAGTCCTCTACCTCCTCCTCTAGCAGGACTAGGCACTTATCTAAGAAGTACCCTGCTCATGAATATGCAAATTACTTGAGTCTATGGTGGTAAATACAGGAATGCCTACAACCCATAACAGCATATGATCAGTGTCTTCTCCACACTCACTGACCACACAGGTCCTCACCATGGGATGGAGCTGGATCATTCTCTTCCTCCTATCAGTAACTACGGGTAAGGGGCTTTCCAGTTCCAAACCTTAAGAAGGAACAGGGACTGAGGTGACAATGACGTCCACTCTACATTTCTCTCCACAGGTGTCCACTCCCAGGTCCAGCTACAGCAGTCTGGTCCTGGGCTGGGGAATCCTGGGTCCTCAGTGAAGTTGTCCTGCAAGGCTTCTGGCTACACCTTCACTAATTACGAAATGCACTGGGTGAGACAGAGGCCTGGACAGGGCCTGGAGTGGATTGGATGGATTTATCCTGCAAATAGTAATACTGGATATGCTCAGAAGTTCCAGGGCAAGGTCAAACTGACTGCAGACAAATCCTCCAGCACAGCCTACATGGATCTCAGCAGCCTGACCTCTGAGGACTCTGCGGTCTATTATTGTGCAAGAAAGACAGTGTTGCAACCCACATCCTGAGTGTGTCAGAAACCCTGGGGGAGCAGGAAGCTGCCCTGGGACTGAGATGACAGAGAAGATTAGCCTGGAGACTTGCTCAGAAATAATCATGCTGAGTGTCCCTTTGTCTGTCATTTCATAGTCTTACAGGATTTTTGTCAACTCTTCAAAAGGGAAAATGCTGGGAATAAAGTGATGGTGATTCAGGATGCCCTAGGGTACACCATATTTTGACCAGCTTAGTTTACCAGTGACCACCTCCATTGACATGATTCCTTTTTAATAAAGTAAAATAGGGCAAACTTTGGCAACACATTATGATCTAAATATCTCTTAAATCTAAGGGACTGGAACTGTTGCTGGAGTAGCAGGGAATAAGCTATAATATGAGTTAGGCCAGTAAAAGATAAGTCAAGAGCATGTGCACAAACAAGGCCCCTTTCATAGTCCAATTTGGTTTCTCAAAACAAGCAAAGGCAGTTTCTTGGAAGGGGTCTTCATAGAGTTTAGGGTTAGTGCTTTAACCTTTTCTATGAAATCTAATTTTACATCCTTAGTTATTGATACATCTCATCATGAATTGCTTTTGGAAGTAATAATCAAATCTCTTACATTTTTAGGATAGAGATGGAGCTGAATGTCATGTTGTGGGGTCCCCAGGCTGTGGAATCTGACACTCTGACAACAAGCTGGGCTCCTGCTCAGATAGCACTGGGGAAAGAGCAGTGGGATTCTATGCTGGGAATGTTGAGACCTGATCCTGTCATCAGCAGCCCTGGGTGCTCATTCCCATTTTCTGAAATTGGATTCTCTTTGTCACCACTTCTAGATCCACACAGACTGAACCAGTGAAAATGTATTTTACATTTTGCAACAATTTCAGAGAGAGGTTTACTATTCTGAGGATGATTAGCAAGTTTTAGTTTATATTATTCCTGTAAATGGCCTTTTCCCTCCACATTAGAAATGCATAGGAAATCACAAGGACACATCCATAATCTGAGACCTATGCTCCTCTGTGCCATCATTTTAGAATGCTTTTATTAAATAAGCAGTAGTATGAGAGGTGTGGTCTATGGGTAGAATTTGTCATACTTCTCTAATGACTGGATACATAATCAGTAATTGTCCTGCCTGAGAACCTTCTTTAAGGCCTTTGTGGGAAAGGATCAATTAATATATTAACATAAAGAAGGGAAGCATGAAGAAAAGATGCTAGAAATTTCATAGGAAGTCTTTTTTGGGGGACTTCCTTTTCCTTTGGTGAGATTATAGTGATAGCCTAAGCTGGTTCCACAGGATTAAATGTAATAATGTAACTGGCCCCATGGAACAGTGTTATGGAATAATTCACAGAAAATTGATAAAGTAATTATTTATTTAGAAATTATTTTATGGAGAACAACTCACAAAACAAGATTAGTTGATTCTGTTGTAGGGTCCTGAAAGGCTGATGGTCTGTCCCATGCCACTTCTCTGCTGCCTGAGTCATTCCCCACCATCCACATCCATGAAGGCAAACAAAAGGAGGCACATGTGCTCTTCAGGTTTTAAGGTTGCCCTGGAGGCCATGCCCTAGGTGCTGATACTTCAAGGTCGTAGGTAGAATAGGTGTCCTCTACATCTCCCCCTTTTGTCTAAATAAGAAAGTTCTAACCTAATACAAAACTATATACAGTAGGAATGATTATCAAGTATTGTCCAGGAGAGGGGAGAGGTAGTATCATAAACAAAAATAGAAATACAACCAGCAAGTGCTGTGGGATGTTCTGTATGGCAAATGTGTTGCTAATTAGTCAATAAATAAAGCACTGATTGGCCATTGGCTAGGCAGGAAGTGTAGGCTGGACAAGGAGGAGAATAAAGCTGGGAAGTGGAAGGCTGAGTCAGAGAGACACTGCCAGCCACCATGTGAAGAAACAGCATGTGAAGATGCCGGTAAGCCACGAGCCATGTGGCAAGGTATACAATAATGGAAATGGATTAATTTAAGCTGTAAGAACAGTTAGCAAGAAGCCTGCCACGACCATACAGTTTGTAACCAATATAAGTCTCTGTGTTTACTTGGTCGGGTCTGAGAGGCTGTGGGACTGGCAGGTGAGAGAGATTTGTCCTGACTGTGGGCCAGGCAGGAAAACTCAAGCTACACGCAAGAGCAGCATCAAACAAGAGACACACTGAAATTCAGAAATGTCCAGAACATAGGTAAATGGCATGCTACAGAGATTACTCTGATAGCTTTCCTATCCTTAAGAATCTAACATTGTGCCAAAAGTGTTCTTAACTAAAATATGAGAGGATTATTCAACCCCATCAAAGACCTGAGAAGGAAAATAATATTACCTGAGAAAACAGGAAGGGCAAACAAGCAATTTCTGAAAACTTGCAAGAATTGACGGAGATAGCTGGCAGCCTGCACAGTCACCTAAAGTTTCTCAGCACCACTGGGGCATCCATTTTTGGCTACAGGCCTAAAGTATCTGATGGACCATTTTCAGACTCAGGAATTTTGAAAGACCATCTTACTCTGTCTTGGCAAGGTTCAGTGGTCACTTTTCCTTGTGTCCCGCTCATCAGGAAAGGACAGCATGCATACCTTCAGCATTCAAGGCAAGGGCAGTTCTTTGCCTAGCAGGCCATTCTGTGCTGAGAAGACAAACTTCCAAATGGAGTATCTTAGAAGCCCAACACTCTTTCGGGAGTAGATCAGTGCTACCAGGAGCAACAGTGTCTCACATCAACAGAATTCTAAGTTATCAAAACATTTAAATGCCATATTCTCTAGGTCTATGAAGTGTTTGCAGATTACATATCCATCTGACATCTGGAAAACCTAGTTTACATAACTGTAGCTATGACAAGTTATGGGTTACTATTAATCCATAAATCTTATCTACCTAAATAACCTAAGGACTAAGGCTTCACATATCAAGGTAAACAGTCTGTAAACAGATATACAGTATAAGGACAATTATCTCAAAATTATGACAATATACAAAATATCTTAAATGGAGGTAGAAATGGATAGTGCAATATGATAATAATAGCCTTTATATGTATCAGTATACAAAATATCCTAAACAGAGGTAGAACATACATACAGTATGACAAATATAATTTTTTTATTTGTATCAATATGCAAAATATTTCAAATAGGAGTAGAAACATGTACAATATGAAAATTATAGTTTTGAATTTGTATCAATATACAAATTATCTTAATTAGGAATAGGAAAATAGTTTACATTTGTAGCAATATACAAGAATCCATATCCATGTAAATTATCTAATTCTGATAGTTTGCTAAATTAGTGTACTAGTAGATACAATAACCTACCTTAATATCCTATAGCTATCTATTGCCTTTTTCTTTTCCAAAAGAGAATCCTGAATCTAAATTTTATTGTTCCACCCCTAATCCTATAACAATTTATTAATAACCCTGAGAAAATAAAACTTTTTGGGAGATGGGGCATCATTTTCTTAAAATTGTTTCCTGTTGTTTAGGGGTAGATGGTACCTCTGTGGGATCCTATAAGAAAGCTAAATGGTTAAGTCTCAATAGGACTAGCTGTAATGTTTGTAGCCAGTCTCAGAGTAATGTGTAAGATTATCTGAGTTTCTGTCTAGAAATTTAATATGATGGGCCATCTCATCTTGGAACTGTCCTGAAGAGTTTGCAGTCCAAAGCTGATCATTGAGTGGTGTTTTTTGGTACAATGGCATCATTATGGACTGGGTAGGGTTGTTGTTGTGGGGTCCCACCTTCCTTTTGAAGACTTCAGAGATTGCTATCAGAAAGACTTATTTTTCACTGTGGAAAATTTGAACATTATTAATATCAAAATGGAAAGTTTGAATTATAGAATGATGTGACGTGTGAGGAAGAATTATCAGAAATTAAGAATAAACATGGAGAAAAATAGAATCTTGACAACAATGGTCCCTAGATTATTGGTTTTCTTCTGTCCCACAGCAGTTGGCTCTTCTGATATAAGGCAGAATCTCCTAAATTTTTCTTTTAGGAATATGCTTGGGTTTAGAGAAGGAGAGAACCACATTCCAACTCCAAAGATAGCTTGATTTATAATTGAATTAGGAACACAACTTTTCTAGAGTTAAAGAGATATTGATGTTTGTGGTGGTATTTTACTTGTACTGAAATGTGATTTTAATTGTATGTTAATAAATAAAGTTGTCTGGGGGTCAGAGCTATTAGAGTCATAGCAAGTGCATGGCGGCGGTGGCACACGCCTTTAAGGACCTGGAGGGCGGTACATTCAGGCAGTGACGAGGCAGTCACATGTTTGGGTTTACAACCAATGACAAGGCAGAACAGGAAGACTTTAAAGACAGACACACAGGAAGTAGGTCCTTTTCGGAGAGCTCTCTTGGCTGGAGAGGATCCCTGAATCAGGAAGGGTGAGGCTCTTAGCTCTGACCTCTTGGCTTTCTTCTCTGAATTGGCTCTGTGTTTCTTATTTTATAAGACCGTTGGTTACATCTACATTTGGCGCCCAACGTGACAAGAATCCATTAAAAACCGCTTAACTTGGCTTGGCGGCAGGTCCGGTCTCCCGCCAGGGCGGCCGGCAGGTCCCGTTTTCCGCCAGGGCGGCCGGCTCCCTAGCCCGGGCCCAGGTCGGCTTGGCCTCAGGCCGGACTAACCTTGAGCTACTTGCTTAAAGCCGGTGCTACAGACAATTCAGGCCTGCCCTGCTGAACAGGGCCCCTGCCTGTAAAGCCAACACACGTGGTTGGAGCTTAAGGTAGCCAGAGCCAAGGCTTGACTAGGCTCAAGCGGGAACACGTGGCTGGATTCAAGTTCTTAGGCAGAACTTGTGGCTACGGTTCTTGCGTGCTCTCTCTCTCTCTCTCTCTCTCTCTCTCTCTGGATTCACACCTCGGACACTAGGAGGCTGTTTTGAAATTCCCTTGGATTGGTACTGTTCTAGGAGGACTTGGTAAGTCATTTAACATATCGAATATTTTAAAGGAAACTATTTAAAAGAAAAATTTTT